CGAGAGTTACTGTGTATAGAGTTGTAAATTTACATTATAACTTACACAATAACTTACATGATTTTGGAATTTGGACTAAGTGAACTTATAAAAATTGCTTGTAAGTTGAAATTATTGTAAGTTACATCAAATTTGAAATTATTGTAAGCTTTATAGCCTTAACTGCGTATTAAAAATTTCATGGTAGAATGTAAAACACTCGGATGTATAAAAAATTTTTCATATGAAAAATTGCTTAGTAGAGTGCCCCGAGTATTTTACAAATTTTGCCTGTAGATTGTATTATACATCACGAAAAACCGATAGGTCAAATTAAATAGAAATGTCAAGACTAAAAAATAGTAGAGGATTTAGAAGTAACTTTATTGTTTGATAGATAAATAAAAACAAAATTTAAAATTGCATCATCATAGCTAATCGATAAATAAAATGAAAATGTAAAATTATATCTTCATAGTTGATAGATAAATAAAATGAAAATGTAAAATTGTATATAAATAAATAAAAACAAAATACAGTATTAAAATTGTATCATCATAATTGATAGATAAAAATAAACTGTAAAATTGTATCATCATAGCTAAAGTTCGATAGATCCTATGTCAATAATTTTGCTTAATAGCATTCAGTACAACTACAAGTATATGAACTTTGACATTCACAACATGAATTAACACATCCGCAGTTTGGATAACAATCTGCATGTCCATAGTTTAGCTTGTTATTCCAGTAGCATTCTTCTCCTTTATTATAACTTTTAGAGTGCTTTTCAGACGATTCATATCCTTTATAATAACTATCAGTATGCTTTTCAGACGATCCATATCCTTTATAAGAACTATCAGTATGCTTTTCAGACGATCCATAACTTTTAGACGATTCCTCTTTTGCGATTGGAGTAGACAAAGATGCGACGAAAATTATAGATAAAATGAAAATGATAAAAAGAAATGTTTTTGCTTTTGTCATTTTGAAGAAAGTTGAGAATCACCTAATTATTTTAATTTCAATAAATATTGTTCAAGAGTAAATTAGTTAAATAATTCATAATAAATACAATAAAACTTATAAATTAACTTATATACTTTATTTTAAGCTTTATTATTATTTTTATTCCTTGTGAATTTGGCTTGTCCAAAATTTTGATTTCGTAAAGTTCATTTCGTTGCGTGTTATTTATTTTAAAAAATTTAAAAAATTTTATTGTTACATCAATAATAAAACCAGATTTAGATATCACAAGATGAGCACGATCCGCTCACTCGTTTTTGAATGAAACGAGTGCTGCAGAGCAAAAAACCTATAACTGATCATAGTAAATCATTATGATCAGTTACAGGTTTTCGCTCTGCAGCACATAAATAGAAATCATTTGTAATAAAAGTAGACATTCGTAATTTGATTGTTCAACATTTTAAATTCCACATAGAGCAAAAGTCTGTCACCACAGGTCGATTATGCAAGCAAGTCATGTATTCAGCTTTCCAAATAGTTGCCATGTGTGTAAATAAAATTTTCAAGTTGACGTACGATAATAAATAAAGGAACTATATC